CTTTTGAAACCCGGGGAGGCCCCCACCATTTGGTCTCCAGCCGGCTAAAGAAGGAGCCTCTCACCCCTCAGGATACTTGAAGGAAACTGGAACAAAGGACAGTGACTGCAAGGGGTGTGAGTGATTGCTGGACCCAGGCTAAAAGGAGATTAGTCTGTAAAAGGGAGTATTCTGGAACTGGTGAGGATCTTATCTGTATTCAGTTTGATTAGACATAGATTTGCGCATTTTATTTTATTTTGCTTGGTGACTTACTTTGTTCTGTTTGTTACTACTTGGAACCACTTAAATCCTACTTTCTGTATTTAATAAAATCACTTTTTACTTATTAACTCAGAGTATGTATTAATACCCTGGGGGAGCAAACAACTGTGCATCTCTCTCTATCAGTGTTATAGAGGGCGAACAATTTATGAGTTTACCCTGCATAAGCTTTATACAGATACAGGGTAAAACAGGGTATTTATTTGGGTTTAGACCCCATTGGAAGTTGGGCATCTGAGTGCTAAAGACAAGCACACTTCTGTGAGCCGTTTTCAGGTAAACCTGCTGCTTTGGGGCAAGCTATTCAGACCCTGGGTCTTTGTTGGAGCAGACGGGAGTGTCTGGCTCAGCAAGACAGGGGGCTGGAGTCCTAAGCTGGCAGGGAAAACAGGAGCAGAGGTAGCCTTGGCACATCAGGTGGCAGCTCCCAAGGGGGTTTCTGTGATCCAACCCATCACAGCCCCCCACCCCCACAGAGAGATGCCCTCTCCACTCCCCTGCCTGGCTACTATTCCAGACCCGAGCACTCCCTGCAGCGACTTCCCCTTCCCATGGGGTCCCAACCCTAGCCCCTGGCCGCAACCCCGGGAGGTACCTGGAGGAGCTCGGACACCTCCTGCTGGAACTTGTCAGCCAGCGTGTCCACAAGGCGACTGCGGGCCAAGTCCACGCGGCTGTAGAAGGTGAACTCTGGATTGCAGAGCACGTACAGCGCCCGGGCAGCAGCCTCCAGCACCTCCTGGCCAGTGTGTTTCTCCACCACCTCCCGCAGCTGGGCCAGCAGCTGCTCTAGGTACTGTGGGGAGAGAGGGTACGGTGGGGCTGGGCAGAGGTGGGAGAGCTTCTGGGAAGGTGGTGGAGGGGAACAGGCAGGCTCTGGAGAAGGAAAAAGGGGGATCCCCCAGCTCCTGCAGAGGGAGGAGAAGGAATCACAGGCTGTGACTCACTGTACCCCTGTCCCGGGGGACCCCCAGCACTACTTGCATCACTTGGAGGGGAGGGGTTCCCAGACAGCACAGTGCAACTCAGCCAGCACCTCAAAGGAAGCAGCTAATGGGGGTCCCCTCCTCCCCACCCCACATGCTCCTGTTCCCATGGCACTGCAGGCCCCAGAGCACCTGGATTTCCCCTGCTCCTGGACTGGCAGCTCTGGAGCTAAGACTTCTGGGTTCTATCCCTGGCTCTGGGAGGGATGTGGGGGGCTGGGGCTGGGAGCCAGGACTCCTAGGCTCTGTCCCTGGCTATGGGAGGGACGTAGGGGGCTGGAGCTGGGAGCCAGGATAGCTAAGCCACACCCTCAGTACCTTCTCCAGCCGCCCACTGCTGTAGAGGCTGAGGTTGAAGTAGCGCGGAGCGGCCAGCAGGAGCGCCACCTTCTCCGCATCAGCTGAGAACTGCGGGAGCACAGCAGGTGTCACTCAAGCAGGGAGGCAGCAGGATGGGCAGAGATGCCTCCCCTTGAACCTCCCACGACCTATGACCTAGCTGGGAAGCCTCATAGCAGGATCCTCTAGATTATGGCACGTGAGACCCGGGGAAGGGCAAAGGCCAGACCCAGGGTTCCTGCTTCAACATGGCTCCCTCCCTCCCCAGCGCAGGTGAAGAGCAGAGGCAGGAAGGGGCCCAGGGCACACCTCTGGGAGGTTCCCTCCCTGCACCTCCCCTCCGTTTACCTTGGCCAGCAGCTGGGGCAGCAGCGGGATGAGGTACTGAGTGAGTTTCTCCCTGTCGTCCTCCTGGGCCTTCCGCTCCCGCGCTGAGAGCACCTGGGGCAGGGGATGGTGCTGTGAGAGGTGCAGCGTGCACACCTCCGGGCAGCTGCACAGGGACCCAGTTTACGTACCCCCTTGGGGGAGTGCTGATGTCTCCGGGCCCATGGGGACATGTCACCCAGAGCGACCCTGGGGGAGCTGATGGACTGCGCTTCCCTCCCTTCTCTTGGGCTCATTTACCTTCTTGCCAGGGCCCCTGCCAACGGGCGGCTTCCCCTCCGTGGCCTGACGCATGCTGGAGACCAGGATCTCGATCAGGGCGTTTTCCTGCTGGTCACCCCAGCCTGCTGGAGGGAGAGGGATTAGGAGCAGCCCTGAAGGCTGCCAGGCAGCTGTGACTCCCTTGCTGTCACCCCGTGCATTGCAGCCTCCCGTCCCTCACTCACCCTCCTCCGGGGACTCTTCCAGCAGCAGGTGCGTCAGGCCATCCCAGTCCTTCAGCAGGGGGGCAGCACAGTCCCACAAGCTGTCCACCAGGTACGCCGCATGCTCGTGGAGCTGGGGGAGGAAAGGGGAGACCTGGTGATACTAGCCCCCACACAGACTCCCCCACACTCCTCCCAGCCCCACTGTGCTCCTCACCTCACTCTCGATGAAGAAAGACAGCAGCAGCCTGAAGAAGTCCCTGCTCCCCCCACGGCGCCCCTTCTCCTTCCCGGCTTCCCAATCCAGGTCAAACTGCCTGCAAACCACACACACATTAGAGAGGGGAGAGCCAGGATGCCTGGGTTCTCTCCCCTGCTCTGGGAGGGGAGTGGGGGCTGGTGGGTTGGAGCAGGGGAGAGGGAATGTTGTATTTCAGCCACCTGCGAAAAGCACAGGCTGAGATTGCAAATTAAGGCCTGAAGGGAAGAGGGAAGTGAAACCCCTCTGAGTGAGGTGGTTGTGGGGGGAGCCCCATACCCTGGGAGGAGGAAGGTGTATATTTGTTGGGAGCCCCACGCCCCCTGCTGGCGGTGCTGTGACCGTGCTCACTCACTCACTTCTTGTAAAGAAACTCCCCGGCGGCAGCAGCCAGCGCCCGGTTGGAAGCATACACCACGGGGTAAACGGCCTCGCAGTCCTCATCTGTCAGCATCTCCTCCATGTTCCTGCTCACAGAGGGGGAGGGGCTCAGCCTGAGCAGGAAGAGGAGTCTCCAGCTGCCCCACACCATGAGGCTCACTACGTGCCCCTCCCAGCTTCCTTAAGTGCCCTGCACATGCCTGGCCTCCCCCCCTGTCCCCGCTTGGCTCCCAGCTCCATACTCACTGCAGAATCAGGGTCAGCAGCTTGATGGCCTCCACACCCACGTCCGGTTCTTTGTCCAGGACCATGGACACCATGCGACCCTGAGAGCCACCAAACGGAGAGTCACTCATGGGAGGGTAAGTGGGCCCCACAGGAGGGAGGTGTCCCAGGGCGTGCTGCAGGGGGACAGATGGGCAGCAGGGCAGAGCTCCCAGGAGGGGGCATCCCAGGGGCAGGCGGGCAGCAGGGCAGGGCTCCCCAGGAGGGGGGGGGTGTCCCAGGGGCAGGCGGGCGGCAGGGCAAGCTCCCGAGGAGGTGGGGTGTCCCAGGGGCAGGCGGGCGGCAGGGCAGCGCACTCACCTTGAAGCGGCTGGTGAAGAGCTCCATGCGAGCAGCCATCTCCTGGCTGCGGTACAGCCCCTGCAGGGCCTTCAGGCACTTGAACCGCACCTCCCGCTGCTGTGGGGATAGAGAGGCTGAGAGCCAGGCCAGCACCAGCGTCCGTCCCGTCCCTGCCCCACAGGCCAGAACCCCCCCCTCTCGATCTCCCTGCTCCCCTCCAGCACCCAGGCCCCAGCCCTCGCCGGGCCCCTGCTCCCCACCTTGTCGTGCAGGGTCCAGCCAATGTATTTGAGGTAGCTGTCTGTCAGGAAAGAGGCGCTGTAGCTCTGCATCCAGTTCCCCATCTCCTCTATGCAGATGGCCCGGATCTCAGGCACCAGATCCCTGCCAGACAAGACATGCAGCATGCCCCTGCAGTGCCCGCCCCTCGTCCCTCCAGCATGCATGAGCCCCGTCCTGCCGGCAGCCTCACGTGCAGATGGCACACTGTCGTCCCAGGGCAAGACAGGGACGCCCTGCAGAGTCACACCCAGCTGGCGGGGCCCGCTCCTAGCCTGACCTCCCCTCCCCGCACTCACCTGTACCGATGCACAAAGACCCCTTTGAAGATGGCGTTCATCATGTTCTCGATCTCCTCCTGCTGTTCCTGGAGCTGAGACAGACACAGGCGTCACCCACACCACTTCTGCGGGCTCTGCTCCTACCAGCCCAGCAACCGCCCCCAGCACCACCATCCCCCACCCTGCCCCTACCATCCCATCCCCACCAGTCCAGCACTCCCTGGCACCATGCCCCCACCCCAGTGTCCCCTAGCGCTGCCCCTGCCAGCCCCTTCGCTCACCTCCCTGCGCTTCTCCAGCAGTGCCTCTAACTTGTCCGTGGCCCTGCGGCTCGGCCCCTTGCTCCTCTCGGCCTCATACTGCCGCTGGTTGTTGTCTTTGTGCAGGCTCACGCCCAGTGCCACCCTCACCAGCGATGTCATCAGCTTCATGGCTGGCAAAGAGCATGGAGTGAGCAAAAAGGGGGAGCTCTGCATGTACCCCCGTTACGGATCCCCAGGATCAGGGCTACGGCCCCCGCTTTGGAACGGTCTCTAGAAGGAACCCTTCAGTGTGTCAGACCTCCAAGGGGTCTCCCTCTTCTTTCAGGGGAAGCCAGGCGGTTTCACTGTGACACTCACACGCCGCTGTCAGAACAGCGGGGTTTATTCGTTAAGTGGCACACAGCACAGGAAGCTTAGGGGCGTCTAGAGAAATGAAGGTTAAAGCATCTGGGTAGCCCAGAGCCCAGCCACATTGTAGGGAACCCCTTGGTTTAAGCTCTGTCTGTCCATCCATCCGACCTCCTGGGCCAGACTCCAGCTGAGAGCCCCGACACCTTCCAGCAGCCAACACTTGTCCCCCACCCCCCTCATCTAACGGTTTGTTCTGGAGCTGGGGAAATGCCGTTAGCCTCCCTGATGAGAGGTGGCACCCATCCCTCAGTCTCCTCGCCTGCCCCGAGAGCAGTCACCGCCTGCCCGCTCCCCCGGCCTGGGTAACAATGCCGCCTACAGGGGAAACCTGAGATACAAACAGGACTCATAACGATATTACAAGATACCCTCCCACTCTCCTCTGCAGAGAGGCCATCCGGGGGCTCCCAGCCCTCTGAGCCCATGCAGGAACGCCCTGCAGCAAGCCAGGATTCCCCAGACCCCAGCTGTCTCCATTCTAACCACCAGACCCCCCTCTATTCCCTGCAGTGGGAGCAGAACCCAGGCACCCTGCTCTAACTGCTACCCTGCAGATGCCGCCCACGTCCCCGGGGCGAGACTCACCTGCGAGGGTGCTGGTGTGACGGAAGGCGCGCACCTGGGAGTCGGAGAGGCCAGTGAGCAGGGAGATGAGGGTGTCCATGAGGTACTCGTCGTAGATGATGCTGTACTGACAACGTCGCACCAGCACTGTCACCAGCTCACAGAATCCCGCCTGGAACTTTCGCCAGGGCTGGGTGGTCAGGACCAGCGGGTACTCGGCAGAGTCCTGGCGCGGGCAGGCACGAGGGGGGGGGATGG